TTAACACTGACTTAATAATAGGTACTAATTATAACTTAGAACATAAATGAAAAACTCATGATGAGCAAAGTGGCTCAGGACCACGCTTTGCGGCAGTTTGTGGAGGAGGATGTTCAGTAGTGGACTTGTGAAGAGCTGTAATGATGATGATGATTCGAATTCATGCACGATTAAATTATAAGAAATCGGCGTTTTTTATAGGATAGGGTGAAAAACGAGCACACAGTTCACCTGATGGTAAGTGGTTACTGTGGCCCACTGACATCTACATCTATCCTCGATTGCGGATCAAAATGCAGATGCGTTGTCACCCGTGAGGACTAAGATGAAATGCTTCGTTTCCTTTAAAAAGGGTCTCTGGTTCTCTACACTCACTATATGAAACACAGCATCATTAAGCTACTATTTTACGCTGATATTCTGTGAGAGCGTGGTCCTTCCCCGGTCGAGCCGACCTTAGTGCTGCAACTATACTTCTAATATAATTGCATGGTTCTACCACGTATAAACGACGTGCTTCATTTTTTTTCATTTCAAAATTGTCCTCGTAATAATCTGATTGTAAAAAAAACGTTAGTTTTTTTGATAAATAGCTTACTGATTAAAACAAATGTTCAATAACAAATAAATCGCGCTAATTAAAGTAGTAAGAATGTTTAAAGTTGAAATTGGCACTAAAAGGCTGGTAATTGGGGCATCCACCCTACAAAGCTTAAATATAAAATTTAAATCAGATGCGTATAGTCACTCTGGGAGCTTGTAGCAAACTAAACGGGCGGCCAACGTGTGGACGCGGCGACCAAACTCTGCCAACAGTCCTTTGATCTTTTGTAAAAAACCGACACCACACAGATCTCGCGCTAACGGCGCCTCTACACGTTGGCCAACACAGTGGCTAAGGTTGGGTGGCGAATGTAGTGGCCAATAGCATTGGCCAACGTGTAGACGGGGTGTTTGGGCTTCATTGGTATGTATTGGAACGATGGCCCGCAAGTTGGCGCGAGATCCGTGTGGTGTCGGTTTTTTACAAAAGATCAAAGGATTGTTGGCGGAGTTTGGTCGCCGCGTCCACACGTTGGCCGCGCGTTTAGTTTACTACAAGCTCCCAGAGTGATTACACGCATCTGATTTAAATTTTATATTCAAGCTTTGTAGGGTGGATGCCCCAATTACCAGCCTTTTAGTGCCAGTTTCAACTTTTTTTATTTTCAACATTTCTACTACTTTAATTAGAGCAATTTAATTATTATTGAACATTTGTTTTCATCAATAAGCTATTTATCAAAAAAAAAATTAACGTTTTTTTACAATCAGATTATTACGAGAACAATTATAAAATGAAAAAAAAAGAAGCACGTCGTTTATACGTGGTAGAACCATGCAATTATATTAGAAGTATAGTTGCAGCACGAAGGTCGGCTCGACCGGGGAAGGACCACGCTCTCACAGAATATCAGCGTAAAATAGTAGCTTAATGATGCTGTGTTTCGTATAGTGAGTGTAGAGAACCAGAGACCCTTTAAAGGAAACGAGGCATTTCATCTTAGCCCTCACGGATGACAACGCATCTGCATTTTGATTCGTAATCGAGGATAGATGTAGATGTCTGTGGGCCACGCAACCACCTACCATCAGGTGCACTGTGTGCTCGTTTGTCACACTATCCTATAAAAAAAAACGTCGATTTCTTATAATTTAATCGTGCAAGATTTCGAATCATCATCATCATTACAGCTCTTCACAAGTCCACTACTGAACATCCTCCTCCACAGACTGCCGCAAAGCATGGTCCTGAGCCACTTTGCTCGTCATGAGTTTTTCATTCATGTTCTAAGTTATAACTAGTACCTATTATTAAGGCAGTGTTAATTATATTTATTGCTATTGTTTTTGTCTTTCTCAAAAAATAATTAAATTACCAAATAAATTATAAGGTGTTTTTTATATACATCAAATTTCTGATAGAAATGCAAGTACATATTTTGCTAAACTTTAAAATCAAAACACAATTTTAAAACATAGACTAATCGATTATAACTCCTTTAACTTTAAAATAAGTTAATTTCTTATTAATGGTATTTATTCCAGTTTATGATGCATGTAAAGAATAAATAAAGCTAATCGTATATCGTATATCTATTTACAGCCCCATTAATAACCACTATTATTTTATAATTCTTTTATAAAAACATTAACCCCACACTAGGATTTTCTCCCGTATCGCGCAGGCAGTTTACAAACATAAATTGCACAAGGACACACATCCAGACCCGAAACAATTATTTGTAGGACATACAAATACTTGTTCCGTGCGGGATCAAACCCCGGCGCCCAGCGCAGCCACTCATTGCTGAGCCACTGCGCCACGGTGCTTATAAATTCGTCCGCATATTGGCCCGAACCGAAGTAAACTGAACGACCTTCCAACGTGTGGACGCCGTCACCAACTCGCGGCCAATATATTCGCCACTCCATTCGCCACTGTGTTGGCCAACGTGTAGAGGCGACATAATGTAGTGGCCAATAGCATTGGCCAACGTGTAGACGGGGTGTTTGGGCTTCATTGGTATGTATTAGAACGATGGCCCGCAAGTTGGCGCGAGATCCGTGTGGTGTCGGTTTTTTACAAAAGAGATTTTTAGATTTTCCAAAATTTTTTTTTGGAAAATCTATTTAATTAAACTAAGTATGCAGCACCGTTGTTATCTATACACTTTTGCCATCTTATAGGTATTTCATTGATCCCTTTACTAAAAAAACCATGGGGGCGAGAATCAAGAATCTCTTTGAAGGCGGTTTTGACTGCTATAGCGGAGTTAATTTTTTTCCTTATAAGAAGTTGGTCGAATTCCGGAAAAAATGGTAATATGATGGAGCAAGGTCCGGGGAGTACGGTGGAGATCACAGACATTCCAATTGTAGCTCATCTAACTTAGTGGTTGTTTGTTGTGCAGTGTGTGGTCTTGCGTTGTCGTGAAGCAGCAGTGGCCTAGAGCGATTGACCAATCTCGGTTGTTTAGCAGATAGTTCTTCCTCTATGGTTTGCAGTTGCTGACAATAGATATCTGCCGTAATCGTTTGGCCAGATTTTAGAAAGCTGTAGCGAACGACACCGGTGCTAGTCCACCCAACACTCACAAGTAACTTTTTCTGAGTCAATTTTCGTTTAGGGCCGTAGGGTTAGATTCGTCGAGCGCTTCCGATTATCGTACAGTATCCACTTTTTATCACAAGTAATGATTCGATTTAAAATCCAATCAAGTACTGCCTCATTACCGACGATCTCGGATGATGCATCCTATTGGACGTCATGGTAGTGCGGACTTTTCTATCCAGGGCATTAAGTTCAGTCTGAGTGCACCTGAGTATGCCAAAGCTATACATGAGGACAGGCATGACCCAGCCGTTATATGCGTATGTCTTATTCACACCGGACTAAAGGTATTAAGCACGTCAAGCGTGCATAAAACACATCGCAAACTGACTGTTTCATACCAGCCTCATCGATACCGATGTTCTGTGACATACCCAGGTATCGGTATGTTTCAGCCTCGGAAAGGGTCCTTAAGTTGATGGGCATAGATAAGTCTATGCCCTCAGAGTTAGCAACCCTTCCCCTTTCAACATGGAGGACCGCACGCTTATCCGTCCCCAGCTCCATTCCAATGGAATTGCTAAATTCACAAGTGATTCCATAAGATGGGAGCAACTGGAGGCGAATAACTTTAGGTCATCCATATAGAAAAGGTCGGTCACTTTTGTCCCTACTTTCCGTAGCTGAAATCCCCTCCCGGAGCCCTCCAGTAAGGTACTGAGAGTGTTCTGAGAGAGGCAAAACCAGATTGGACTCAGACAATCGCCCTGGGAGATACGCCTTCTTATCCTTATGTGGTTCTCCGCAGCCATCATCCGCTCGCCCAGATGACAAAGGATCGTACTCCACTGCCCCATACACTGCTTGAGGAAGTCTCTAACTGTACAGTCTATCTTGTACAGCTCGAGGACTCTCTTTAGCCATGTATGGGGCACCGAGTCGAATGCCTTTCTGTAGTCTACCCAGGCGACGGAGAAGCTCCGACGGTTGCGTTTCACCACTTTGCCAATGACCGCGTCAATGAGGAGTGGTTCCTTGGCTCCACGACTACCGCCCCGACATCCATTTTGAGCGCGTGACATAACCTGATTTAGCTCCAGGTGACAAGTGATTCTTGCGCTCAAAATGGATGTCAGTGTCTTATATATGCTGGGTAGACACGTGATGGGGCGGTATTTGCTCGGGTCTGTGGTATCCTGATCTTTAGGAATCAAGTGATGATCCCAGTAGTGAAGAGGCTCGGGAGCGACTTCTGATTGAGAGCCTCTTGAATCTGTCGGGCAAGCACAGCGTGACACAAGGGCGTGACACTCGCACTCTGGCTCGCCACAACTTCCATCCAAGGGCCCTCGCTGTGGTTTACGGGCTCCGACCACAGGCCACGCCAATCCTGCCCTGAGCCCGCTCAACATACTTCTGGTCTCTCCAATGATTTATAGAGCCTCTTCTGATCACTCTGGAAGAAACTATCCTGGTTGTACCGCCTTGACCTCTCGGTAAATCTTTGAATCCACTTCCCCCAAGCAGCGATCTTTTGCTTCAGGTCGTCTATGCGTAGCGTTAGTTTCTGCGTGATATCCGGCTGGGACAAACCGATATTTCTCCCAGTAAACGCCATTCTAACGGTGGGCACAACCCTCGGTCTATTATTACACGACCTGAAGCTTGTCAGTCTGCCGATAAGGGCCCTTGCCTTTGCGATACGGTCCTCAATTCTTTTTCTCCAGGCTGGGATGGCGCTACTTTGTTTAGTAGTGCGTCCAGCCAAGGGAAGTTTGGCGCCAATAATACGGCAAACTGCCATTGCGGCGCCAAAAAGAACTGATTCCGTCTCGCAAAGGTCCCTGCTGGCTTCCAAATACCAGTAATGGGTTAAGAGCCCTCACGACAGTCCGATTTCGCTTGCTTAGGGGTATGCGGGGAAGTCGCGGTCGATTTTTGGGGGCATGCTGCGCTTTTCCAAAATCGCCTCTTCCAATATACTCTTCATTTGCTCTAGTTCTTGGGAGACCATTGCATCATCGTCCGACCACCCACAACTGTAAGTCCATGGCGGCTTCCACGAGTGGATGATGGTCTGTCGCCTGAGGAGCCGCATCCCCAGCCATAGCCAATTCATTCGATGAGGGAATGGCCCCACGTCGTAGTCGTTCGAGCTCGGCATCATCAAATATTTTGGAGCGCATGATGTACCGAACTCGGTCTGCTAGATTTTGTTCCGTGACAGGAATAGATGGCACCAGCTCAGCAAAAAAGCAATGCATCCGAGCCCGATACACTATCCCTGCAGTTTCTTCCCCTTTCGCCCTATAGTACGCCCGCAATGCGTTTGCGTTCATATTTTTTGTCTAACGCACGCGGCGCACTCCACCTGCGGCGGATGCCACTTGCCGAGTCCGAGAGGATCCTGCCGACATCAAGCCATCTGGTGGGGATGATGGATGTGGGGGTCTGCTAGGTGATCTTGCAGCTCCTCGCACTCGGCCGGCGGCCCGCATGCTGCCGCGTCCAGCGCCAGCATCCGCTCCAGACGCGCCCCGGCGACCCCCAGAATAGAGAGGTAAGGAGGACAATCTCCCATAGGAGAATAGTTGAACAGGTGTCCATCTGTAAGCAGTAAATAACAGTTCAAAAACTCTCCACAACAGCGCTAGAGTAGCTACAGGGTATGATTGATGAATGATGAAATCGCCGTAAAAAAACATTGAGAGTGATTTTGAAAATAAAATTTTTTAAAGCAATAAAATAATTATTGTAAATAGAATTATGGTGAAAGTCTGTGCAATAAAAAACAGCAAGGTAAGCATAGTATTATGGAGTGTAGAAGTAAGGAGTACCAACTCCCATAGGAGAATAGTTGAAAAAGTGTCCATGTGTAAGCAGTAAAAACAGTTCAAAAACTCTCCACTACAGCGCTCGAGTAGCTACGGGGTATGTTAAATCGCCGTGAATTACGTTGAGATTGATTTTAAAAATAAAAATTTTGAAAGCAGTAAAATAATTATTGTAAAAAGAATTATGGTGAAAGTCTGTGCAATAAAAAAATTATAAAAAGTTCTTTAAAATTTAGACTGTAGCTACAGTGGCACCACCCTTATTCAACGCTTTCCTATGGACACTTTTTTATACAGAGTCTGTACTCCTTACCTCTACGCTCCACCATACATAGTATAGTGGCGTTGTCGATCGCAACAGAGTAGTGCGAGCGGAATGGATATTTCTTTAAAGCGAATAAGCAGAACAAATGCTATAGCAACAGCGACAGACACAAGCAACTGTGCTTGCCCCGCATACACACCTGTAGATATTTCATAGGAACACTAAGGTTTTATATTTAGAGGGGCGCCACTATGACATGTCGCACTTGTCGCACCACCTAAAAATTTTGCTGGGGATGTACATGCCACTGTATTCTGTTGTAATAACTTGTAAAATTTTAAATGCGATAACTTTTTTGGTATACCTTTGCTTTACTTTTTTTTTGGTATACTCTAGCATACCTCTGAGTCATGGAGTATAGCTTTGAGTATAAAAAGATTGAGTCCGTTTCACGAAAGAAGTCCCTCCGCCGCGGCACTACAGTCTTTGCAAAGTTTAACATCTGTTGTCAAATTCCATACATAAAATTTTAATTTGCACATTTTCTGCGGGATTTCCTTCGTGAAACGGACTCTACCTACCTAGTTGCAAATTGTAATGAAGGTTTAAAAATCTTGCGTTCACTAGATGTCGCTAGTTGGGAACGTGAAGTTTTTTGTAGCACAATATCAATCTCATTGAGAATCTAATTAAGAATATCAAAATAATTGAGAAATTAGTAGTGAAAGTGTATCAGTTTCTAAGGTATTATATAAATACACAAAACAATGCCTCAGTGTTTTATAAGGAATATCTGTTGCAATCTGTAGTTTAGTTTATTTATTTCTTATTTAATTAATATAAAATATAACTAATATTACAGAAAGAAACAACCCCTTACATTTTCCTAACAAATTAACTTCCCCGCTATGAAATTTGCAAATATTTCACCTCATGTCAAAGTGGCGCTGCCCTGGTAGCAGAAAATCGTGGATGGCTTCTTAGGGGCGGGGATGGTGTTAGGTATGGTATGGAGTGTAGAGTAAAGAGTACTGAAGTGTCCTTAAAACCATTAAATAATGGTGGCGCCACTATAACTACGGGGTAAATTTTAAAGAACGCACCGAAAAATATTAGTGGGATGTCTATCCCACTAATATTTTTCGAGGTTATATTTACAAAATAAAATTATTTTAGATTTTAGAGCTACTGAGCAGTTTAGCAGCACACTTAAACCGTCGAGAACTGCTAAGTTCATTTCATCCCAGTAGCTACTCCAGCGCTGTTGTAGAGAGTTTTTGAGCTGTTATTTACTGCTTACAGATGGCCACTTTTTCAACTATTCTACTATGGGAGTTGGTACTCCTTGCTTCAACACTCTATAGTGTTAGGGTGTGGATGCCCAAATTGAAGGTTCAGTGACCTCTGTGGGTTAAGAGGATAAGTAAATGCTCTATAAAACCCACAATTAGTTCTTCCGGTTCTGGGTGTTTATCCAAATGAAATTATATATATTAAACGCTTCGATGATGCAAAATCAAAAAGTCTTGGTAAGGGGTTACATTTTTAATTCAAATAAACCCCTTCAAACGGCAGTAATTTCGATATTACATACAAACACTCCAATTATATTTATATGTATAGATACTAAATATGAAATACAAATTATATTAAACAGACTGGGTAATTTTTAAAGAAGACTGTAGATAAATATTAGGTCTCACTTTACTGTACTTTGCACTGACATCAACGGCCTAAATAAATCTATGAAATAAATAGTCTAGAAGCATTTATTGCTATACGTATTTCTTCAGGCACATAATATTTGTTATAAAAGATAATATGTAGTACAATTTTACTTCTAAATTATTATGAAGAATTGAAATTATAATATGACCTTCATTATAATACACTAATTCTAAGTAACTATAATTTCCATATTTTCATTTTTCAATTTTTATATATTATGTAAAGATAAAAATATTTTGTTGGCTTCAATTTTAAAACGCAAACTGAAAGGTCAAAGAATAGAGTTGTATGTATTCGACAATTTTACATTTTAATTTGTCGATATATTTATCTGTAGTGTTTGGAAATTACGGGCGAAGCAAAATGGAGTGAAAATAATGATTTATTAAATTTACACGAACACTACACATTGAATAAAACTAAATTTACGGATTTTATCGCATTTATTTCACTACTTTTACTTATTTTTTAATTCCCGACGTTTCGGGTGCTTTACAGCACCCATGGTCACGGGGGGGGACTGAGTAGTTTGACGTCCCAATGTCATAGTTAGTCGGGCTACCTTCAGTTTTTGAATATTAATTTTTGGTCCGATTTACGCAAAACGAGCTTATAGTATCATGAAGTCTTGCAGTGGTATGCTTAGGTTTGGGTTTAATTTTGTTAATTATAGGATCCCAAGCAGGTGGCCAGCACCCATCCATCTTCTTTATTGAAATTTGGATGTTTTTTTAATTTCAATAGCCTCGCGTATCATCCTTGGTAGGAATCGGTGTTCTTTTGCGAGGATTTGTGGTTTATCAAATCGAATGTAATGGTGGGGACGATCTTGAACATGTTTGCAGACTGCAGACTTCCCGGAGCGTCGGTGTTTCACGTCAACTATATGTTCTTTCACGCGGATTTTTATGTATCTTTTTGTTTGAGCTATATAAGAGAGACCACCTTCACAATCTAACTTGTACACTACTACATCTTGTAGAGGGATATTACACTTGAAGGATGGTAAAAATTGACTAATCTTCTTCGGCGGCTTGTAGTATGTTTTAATGGAAGCTCGCTTCAAGATGTAGCCAACCTTGTCTGTGACTCCTCTGAAATATGGTAGTACAGCAGGTACACGCTCGACTGTGGCCGGCTTCACTCGGTCACTGTGACGTAGGCGCGGGACCCGAAGTTTGTTGTCTTGCAATACGCTGAATTTGCACGTCAATAATGACGTGCTGAAGTTCGGCGGCCAGATGTTTTCTGTCACAGATCCCTCGTGCTCTCTGAAACAAAGATTTACCCACGGTAGCTAACTGTGAAGGATGATGGTGAGATTCACCATTTAAATATCGGTTGGTATGGGTCTTTTTCCTATACACAGTGCCAATTGTGTTATTAGTATTTCGAATGACTAAAACATCTAAGAAAGCTAAGGAATTATTTGCCTCTAACTCCATTGTGAATTGTATTTTAGAGTTTATAGAGTTAAGTTGAGTTAAAAATGCACTTAATTTGTCAGATGGTAAAATTGTGAAAGTGTCGTCTACGTACCGCTTGTAGAATCTTGGATTTACAGGACCAGTAAGAAGGGCTTTCTCCTCGAAGTCCTCCATGAATATGTCGGCGACTATGGGAGATGCAGGTGAGCCTATCGCCACATAATCTACTTGCTTGTAGAACTCTTCCTTCCATAATGGATAGCCAGATGTGGGGCAGTGTTTGAGTAGTACCGCATATTCAGCAGGCATGTTGTTATCTTCTAGCTTTCTAGTTACAATTGACATGCAGTCTTCAATAGGTAGGCATGTGAATAGTGACTGAACATCAAAACTGACCATAGTGTTATTGTCAGCGAGATGTAGGTCTTTTATCTCACTAACAAAATGGTATGAATCCTTTGTGTGTGCTCTGGTATGTCCTCTTAGTGGTGACAGTATTTTTGCCAAGTGTTGTGCCAGCTTATACGTTGGTGAATCGATCTGGCTCACTATAGGACGTAGTGGAGCGTTTGGTTTGTGTATCTTCGGTAACCCCTTTTTCATGATGGTATTAGCGAATTCACGTCGAGATTTAATTTTTCGGAGTATTTCTTTATTAAATCGCTAGTTGCTTTAAGCGTGTTAGTTGTGGGGTCTGTTTTGACCTTTTTTTATGTACTTTCGTCCGATAAAAGCTTGTAGTATTTTAAAATTATACTCTGACGTGTCCATTATTACCGTAGCATTTCCTTTATCTGCGTGGAGAATCGTTAGCTCTGGTCTGTTCCGTAAGTTAATCAACGCTGTAAATTCGTCTTTAGGAAGGTTTGGTTTCGGCAATGAACTATGACGTAACAAGGACCAAATATCT